GTGTCTCTTTGCATCACCATCCGGGATTAGGGGCACGCAGTTCAAATTCACTAGTTGGTAGAGGACCCCCGGTCCAAAACACCGACACAATCGATGTTCTAAAATTCAAATAAATTACAAAAACCATCCAATTTTAAGGAATTTTAATTTAGGGTTCTTAAGAGGTTTTAAATTATACTAGTTGAAATGGGTCCTATGTTATTCATTGTACTAGCAGAAAAATAGCCGTGATTTAGAAGCTTAATATAGTAATGTTTTGTACTCCATCCGTTCCAAATTATAAGTCGTTTTAACCTTTTTGGTACATCGATTTTGCTATGTATTTAGACATATTATTATATCTAGATACATACTAAAGTTGATGTACTAACAAAGTCAAAACGACTTATAATTTGGAACGGACGGAGTATATATGAAAGAGGTGACAAATAATGATGTTTCGAAGAAAAGCAACTTAAACCATCGGCTGCCCTATCTGTCAGGCTCATATCAAAGAAGAACATTATAATTTACTAGCTATTCTCTTTTGCATAATGAAAATCGTGCGGACTCCAAGAGGCTTCGAGCTCCGCTAGCAGTGTCTTTAGCTTAAATGGACCCACGTATCATTTTTTTTTCGAGACTCAGTTACAACGCAGATACTCACATATACGAGCGTATACTTATCCCTATGAATACACATACGCACACCCTATTTTTATGAGCATCTCCGAAGAACTAAGTTGGACTTGCAAATCTCGAGATTGACGAAGTCGACGTAGACGCTCACATACACGAGCCCACACTCACCCCTATGAACGCACACCGGCAAATCTTGAGATCGACGAAGTCATCACATTCCACAGGTCCCTCGCTGTCGACGGGCACTTCACCTACCACTAAAAGAATGACGCCGTTAAATCCTGATATAAATAAATCCAGAAAAATACGAACATCACTCGTGTTAAGTTGAGCACTTGAACTCAGACGATAAAGTTCTACCACAGAGAACCCAATCGGCTGAATACACTCGGTTCGCAACCCACGTATCATTGACTTGCCAGACATGCAGTATCCCGATACATTTACCATACTCATCAAAACGACCGATCATGAATCATCCAATTCGTTTTTAAAGAACCAAATTTTATTTATTTATTTATCTGGTAACGGACACTGAAATTAAGCCATGAACAATGCTCTTTCCTCGGTGGATATTTTCCCTTCATTTTATTACAAACATCTTTCATTTACTTCTTCCCGGTGAAACATTTTTTTTCCGACTAGGAACACTCGGGCCATGTTCGGCTTACCCCGTATTCGGCTTGTTCGGCTTCTTTTTTCAGCCGGAACAATATTTTTCTCTCACAACAATTCAGCCGGAATAGTGTTTTTCAGCCAAGTTTCAGACCAGCGAACAGGCCGTTATGATAGAAGAAAAAGGTACAAATATTTTTTTAGGACAAAATACAAATAGTTTTTTTTAGGGGAACAAAGTACAAATAGTTGAGAGGTCAACGGTTTTGAGGTGGCTGCTGCTGTCGGATTAGGTGACTTAGCATAAAGCCCACGGCCCAAAAAAAAGGCCCAGATTGCTAAGCCCACCAAAACCAGCGGATTAAGAAGGCTGCGAAGGCACTAGCCAGGTCAGCCACGCTCCCCGGAACGAACGACACAGCCATATTCTCGACTCGTTCCCCAAAAACCAGCGGCACCACCCATGGCTTCGGCGGCGGCGAGATCCGGCCTCCGGTCGCTGGCGGCGCGCGCCGCCCCGTTGAGGCGCCGCATGTCCTCCTCCGTCCACGACGACGCCTGTGCGTACATCTCGCCGCCGTGGTTGCTGACCCCTTTCCGTTCTTCTCTCCTTTTGCGAGACCCGATCGGTTCCTGATTTGGGTTTGGTGCCCTTTGTTTTCCGCGTTCGCAGATGAGACGGCCAAGTGGGAGAAGATCACCTACGCCGGGATCGTGACCTGCACCCTCCTGGCGGCCTACAACCTCTCCAAGGGCCACCCCCACTTCGATGAGCCGCCGGTCAGATCTCGCTCCCGAGTTCTCCGAATCTCTGATTAGATTTGGCCTGAGAATGATATGTTTTTTGTTGTTGTTGCAGGCGTACCCCTATCTGCACATCCGCAACAAGGAGTTTCCCTGGGGTATGGACTGTATACCTCATCATTTCGATTTGGCTGCTTGTTTGATTTTATGATATTTGTTCCGTTCCCTTCTGACATTGTTTGATTGAAATGCGTCAGGGATTAATGTTTGATTTGGTGACATGCCATCGGATTAATGTGTAATAGTTTGTGTATCAGAGGCCTCGTATGACATTATAACCTAGCATTTAGTTGGCAGAGTTCTCCAATTGGATATAGGAGTATCGACTTGATTAATTGATTGGATGCATCTGTTTGATAGCTTCACGAATGATATTAAGGTTAAGGGTGCACATTGACATCTTCATTTTCCCCCTTATTTTAGACTGCTTTGTTTTACACAAATATTGCAACACCAGGTGAGGGTGTTATGGGATTGTTATCTGTATGACTGTATCTGATAATGAGTGTACTAGCCAGGAACTATCTAGGGAGTAGATACACTGATGGAATTATTTTCATTAGTTTCTCCCATGTGGCTGTGTGACACTGCAAGAGGTTGTTTTGTCATGTATGACTGTATACTAAAATTCCTTTGCCTCATCTTAAAGGGAAAATGATGGCTTAATTGGGGTTTTGAACATTGAGCGAGTTTTTCAGTATCATTACGGGCTGTTCAATAATTTAGAATTCAAATGGGTCTGGTCCTCTCATTCCATGTTTCACACAAACCACTATGCCATGTGACCTTCTACTATCTACTTCCTCCAAAGTGATGTTTTATTAAGGTTGTCTGAAGTCAACCACTGTAGACTTTGATTGCGACTTCTAATGTAATGTGTCTGTGAAACTATGTTTCAAGATAAACCTATTCGTATCGTGTTCAAACGTTCCTGCAAACTCAACACGTAATAGGTATTTTGTAGTTGAAGTTTGGAATGGTTGACTTCAGACACCCCGAAAGCGTCAATTATTTGTGACTAAAGGGCATAGTTCAATCATGTACGGTTGTTATTATGCAGAGCTAAGCATTTGTTTGCTTGTCATCTTTGATTATTTGCTCTGTTGAGTTACCATTGTACACAGCACTGTACAAATGATAACAGTTGAGCTAATGTCCACCCTGGTTGGTCATATTTAATTTGATCCTATCATGTATATGTTGGCAAATTGGCTCTTAACTCTTGAGTACAAACATCTTGAGTACAAACATTCTGTCCTAACAGTCCTGTGGTATCCCATAAGAGTTCAGAATTGAGGCATTCATACATGCTATATGCCTATATCAAGTGTGTCTTACTTTCTTTTCACCCTTACGTCACACAAATTCCAAAAATACCTCGAAAAGCATGCATTAGTATTTTCATTGTAATCTGTTCCAATGTTGTACTACCTCCATCCCAAAAAGATGCAATTCTAGGTCTGGTCAGAGTCAAACTAACTTAAGTTTGACTGTTATGGAAAATAGTATCCATATTTAAGACTCCAAATAGGTATATTATGAAAATATATTCCATGGCAAAGCTAATGAACCTTATTTAGTATGATAAGCATTAATATATTTCTATATAAATTTAGTCAAACTTAGAATTGCATCCTTTTTGGGACTGAGGGAGTAGTATGCAATATATGTTCACTCCAAACTGCTTTTCCATTATTGTTCAATAAGCACTGCAGCTTTTGCCTTGTATATTTTAATAGAAAAATGCCTTTTAGAATCCAGAGAGTTCTTTTGTATCATCTATGTGAACAGTAAATATTATTGTGGTTTTGGACTGGTTAGAGCAGAAGTGCAGAACACTTCATGTTATCGATTATGAATATTTTTTTTTCCATTTCTGATACATCATACAATTGTGTAATGCAGGTCCTGATGGCTTGTTTGAGAAGAAGGACCACCATTGAGCCCTGATTACCACACCTTCAGGAGCTGGTGCATGCTTTAAAGAGTTATCTCGTTGTTTCGGTGATTTTCTTTTCTTTTTGAGACCTATTTGCTGCAACAAGAAATAAGAATGGCCAAACTCTTGTATTCACAGTCAGGTTTTAACTGTGTTGTTACTTGTTACCGGCTTGTTTTCTTTTCTTTCCTGTCCACATCAAACATCACATGTAAGTTGGTCTTGCCCGGTTTCAGTAAATGGTGTCACAATTATCAAAAAGCTGTTATTACATTCTGATGGCTTCAGATTGCATCATGTGCTCGTGATAATTTCCAAGTTGCTATTGGTACCAACTATCAAGGCAGAAAATAATTGTTTGTTTTGTTTATTTCCTGCAAAAATGGTGGCGGGGCAAGGTAATTTTTTAGGGGTTGCTAGTGTTAGTGAATCCCAACTTAGGACCCTTTTGAAATGCGGGATTTCCCCCCCTGTTTTCTGCGTTTTTTTTTCATTGAAATGTGTCGTTTCCTGTGCTAAATTGTAGTTTAGGAATGGTGAGACATCGTCAGGAATTATTGCTGCACGAAAAAGACAATGCTTCGGACAGTAGCATCTCCCATTCTGGTGGTAGGACATCTGAGCAAAAACAAAAATAACCGGTCTGTACAAGGTGGAGATAAACTAAATTCAGTTTTTTGTCAGCTATGCGCGCTTCTGTCTGAGCACGCTGTACAATCAGCATGAAAAAAATAGAGTTCTCCCGTTCTCGGTAGCATTGTGCATTCTCGTGTCGAGATGCCATGTCCAGAGTCATCCGTGTTGGTAGGTTTCTCCTCTGCTCCAGGTACCCCTAGAGCGAAACTGATCGCAACATCTCCAGCTGTTCCGGGAAAGTTAACCAGTTGTTCCTCTGTCACGCAACGACGCCACATCAACAGATGAAATGTTGTTCAGGGCAGAAGCAGAACCACTCCGGGTTGGAACAGTGCCATTGCCATCTGCTGCACCTGCACCGCCAGTCGCATTGCGCAGTAGAACGTCAGCACCAATCTTGCACAGTGCCGGTGCCGTTCACCGGAGGAACAGTGCTTATGTTCAGTCCATTCTGAGTTCCTCGCGCGGCCTTGGGATCGTCCTCACGGCTGCCGTCTTGTGACTGGAAATCTATGCCATCGTCCTCTTCATCAGCGGCAACGGCGAGGCCGTCGTCCGCGTCGTCAACGTCACCATCGGCACCATCATCCTCATCGCCCTCTCGGTCGTCTTCGTCGCTAGCCTTGCTCAGAGGATCATCCGACGACTCGCCGGCCCCAGCAATGCCATCGACGGAGGCGTACCCTGCGAAGTGGACGAATCCCTTCCTGCCCAGCAGGCGCCGCGCCAGCTCGGCGTCACTTCTGCCGGTCTCCACAGACACTGGCCGTCGCTCGCCGTACGAATGCGTGAGCTGGTACACGATCCAGATGGCGATGGCGACGAGCAGGAACGCCTGGAAACTGTGGCTTGCCCGGAGCTTCTTGCTTCTGTGGCTCCTGCCTGACGATTGCCTCAGCATGGTGTGCTGGTTTTCTTTCGACAGTGTGTGGAGACTGGAGACCTGTACTTCAAGTGTTGGCTCTGCACACCTAGCTTCAAGTACCATGCAAAGAAAAAAAATCAAGAGTAGCAAGAAACATGTGAACTTCACAGTCTGACGATGAACTATATGCACTGCACTCCAAGTCTCCAAAGAAACTATTACATGCTCAATGTCAATGCTGCTCAAGCAATGCAGGAGTATCAAAGACAGAGTGCTTATAGCTATGCTTTTGAAGAAGAAACTGAGGCCCCGTTCAGTTGCCAAAAAATTTTGCATAGTAACTGTCACATCGAATCTTGCGGCACATGCATGCAGTACTAAATATAGACGAAAAAAAAAACTAATTACACAGTTGATCGAGAAATCGCGAGACGAAACTTTTGAACCTAATTAGTCCATAATTAGACACTAATTACCAAATACAAACGAAATGCTACAGTGAGCCAAAATCCAAAATTTTTTGGATCTAAACGCACCCTGAACCGAGCTAGGAAACAACTAGTAGTTGTAAGAAAAGATGCAAGTTAACCGACGGAAAGAGTGCTTACCAGAGAGCAAGGAAGGACTGCTGAAAAGCTTTGCTGCTTTCCTGGATCACATTCACTGCAGAAGCGCAGATCAGGGAGAAATGTGGGGTGTGGAACTGCGGTCCATAGGAAGACCCTGTCTTCCTGCGTTCCTCGCAAGAACACTGCGACTGAGAGGAAGGAACTGAAGTGAAACCAACCGCCTTCACGAGCTGATGCTCCAGGCCTTTACTGGCTCTGTGTGCCCTGTCGGTTTGGGAGAGGACGAAGACCCGCAAGACACCATGGATGCATGCCGACCGAGAAGCAAGTACGGAGCTAGCATATACTACTACTACTGTTGCGATGAAGCCCAGACAATCAGAGTAAACACATGAGACAGAGGGAGAGAGAGAGAGAGCTAGCGAGGTCTGAACCGATGGTGCCCCAAACGGCGTGTGGATGACCATGAGCGCAGCGAATCGGATCGAGCAAGGTCACCGGATCTCCAAAAGCTGGAGGCCCAGAGCTCGAAAGGAGGAGGGTTTGGTTTTAGGTGACGCGTGTCGGTCAAACCGTCAAGGCAGCGGGGTCGGTGGTGTGGTGGTTCGGCACCGGCATCATGTGCTCGCCATGACGCCGGCCGAGGAGGAGAGACGAAAGAGGGGACATTTGTTTTGTGCGTCCGATGCGCATTGCATTTGCATGTCAGGTGCCGAGGTGCCACCACTTTCAGCTGCGTGAGTGAAAGATCATGATCTCTCTGTGGCGCATCGCAGCTTGGACGAAGTTTCAAGCTCGACCATGGTCTCTGTGCAGAGGAATTACACAGCTTTGCCCTCGTGCACTGCATGTAAAATTGCCTGGCAATAATGCCATACCCTGAGACACCGCCCCCCTACCCTCCCTTCTCCCTCCCATGTGTAGATTCAATGAAATGGTGCCTACCCTCTCGATTTCATCTGGGTTTCTTCCTTCTCACTTCTGTCCCTGTCCTGTCCTTAGGCTACAAGGGGTACCCTGTCAGCCCCCTGACTTCCCTCCTTGGTCCATCTTTTGCCCCTACACCTTCATTGCCACCCTTAACAATCAGGTGATACGAGCAATTATATAGTGGGTGAATAGGTTGCTACCCTTGGAAAAAAACTCGCAGACGTAGACAATCATCGAATGATCAGCCTAGGTCATACAGTCCTCTGTCTGATCATACGTTGTTCACCTGGTCACTGAGACAAAGTCACCTCTGCCCTAGAAACAATATCAATAGACAATCCGCCGAGGTGAACCCTATCGTTAGGTACATGCTCTAGAGCAGTTTGCCAGCGCATTTCAAGTCCGATCTCGACCGATCCAACTTATTTAATATCCTGGGGCCACTTTCCACCATGAATTCAGTTAAGAGTTAGCCTCTTGTGCATCCACATGCTTTCGATTCGACTCTCTCAAGTTAACCACCTTGGACCCCCTTAATAGTATAGCCAAATGAAAACAAAGCCATAATACATACGCTACTACCTAATGGCCCCATGTATCTAGCTTGGATTCACTCTACATTGTCCTTAGTCTTCACAACTATCCTTTGCGCCATGCTTCGATCAATCACCAAGTCTAGGGGGGCAGGGGGCCACCATACTTGTGGCCATTCTCATTGTTACTAAGTTAGTTGCATTAACCACTTAATTAAAAAAATATGTTAGTAACAATGTGTGTGCTCATCAAAATCCTATAATCACCAAAATGGGGGCCAGACGTGTACATCATCATAGTCCAGGTCTCCTCGAACTTCAAAACCGAGGCAAATTGTCTCCCTCGACTCTCGAGACCGTATAAGTTACCTCCCTTGTCCAGTTAAAAGTGATTTTCAAGGTAGTCTTGTCATTTTTTAATTAAAAGGATCGTATAAACACTTAATAAGTATATAAAACACAAAAAATACCTATTATATTTTAAAAATTTTGAGAAAAAAATCCTCGAGATTGGGACATGAGAAACCCGAACAAAATATTTAGACAACACAAAAATATATACATAAGCTCCCAAAAAATAATTTCTACTCTAATAAAATGGAAAATATATCCACACAAAATGGAAAATTCCCAAAACATTCTAATCAATATCTAACCATGGTTTAGAAACTTTCCTCGATAAAAATATAAGATGTGGCTAGCATGAATGCAACATAATGCTGAATGAATTTATTCATGTTGGTTACAACTTATGTTCTTGTTATGGAAAGTTTTTAAAACACGTTTAGGAATTGATTATAATTTTTGAGATATTTTCAGTTCACGAGCTCTAAATATTTTATTTGATTTGATCATGTCGAAATCTATCTCTAGAATTATACTCAAAACTTTTATATGCTTACAAATATTTTTTTGTGATTTAGAAAATTTATCAGATATTTATGGAAAGTTTTTAGTTTTAAAAATAATAGGTCCACCTTGAAACCTACTTCTAACCGGGGCAGGAAGGTAGGTTAAATGGTTTTGAGAGTTGGAGGATGTCGCTTACAGGTTTTTATAGTTCAAAGAGAAAGTTTGGACTATGAGATAGTCCACGTGATAAAAAAGGATTTTTCTCGCATCCTAAAACCTTTTCCTTTAAGGTGATGTAGATATTGGACAGGTGGCATTGAATTAGGCACCGATACCAAATCCGACTAGTATTGGAAATAAGCTACGGTACCAAATCTGGATGCAGATGAAATTGTTATTTGGAGTCTGGGACATGAAAAATACCAAATCATGTTTGGCGGTACATTTCGTCAAATTGGGAATTCAGCTCCTTCGACGAGATGCGTGAGGACGTACGACGGCAGGCACGGAGAGGCACCTTTTTGCGTGGAGCTCGGAAGGCACGAAGAGCGGCGGCGGCGGAGCGGGGTCCCGCGTGGAGCTGGGATTCGCGACCCTCTCCGTGCCCCGGCACGGCCCAGACAACATCGAGCGCGAGGAAGAAGCGGATCCAGATGTGACCGGACTTGAGGAAGAAGGGGATCCCGGCACTCGGCGGTGGCCGGACTTGAGGAAGAAGGGGATCTCGCACTCAACGGTGGCCGGGCTTGAGGAAGAAGGGGATCCCAGACTTGAGGAAGAAGGCCGGACTTGAACAAGCTCCTCCGTCCTCCCTCATGCGAGCTCTCCCGCCGGGAGTCGGCGGGGAACAGTCGCGGCGTGAGCTCTCCTCCGTCCTCCCCTCAGTGAGCTCTCCAGCGCGATCTCTGGTCGTGGCGGCGGCGGCGGTCCAACGGTTATGGCGGTTCGATACTGCTTCGTGGCTTTGGTTTCTGTCCAATAGGGTATCGAGGGGGAGCAATTTTAGTTGTAGTCGAATGCCTTGTACTGAGGGGTCAATGTCATTTCGCGATGCCAAACACATTCAAACAGTAGAGTTGAAAAAACTTAATTCGAATTTTAAATTCCACGCCTCAGTATCTACGTCCAAACGGGCATTAAAGTATCTCAAGAATACTCAATATTTTCTTAAAAAAACATAAAGTTTTATAAGAGTTCTACGTAATAATCGGTTGTTTTAGTCCTCCAAACAGTCGGTTGTTGGCAGAGCGAAAAACAACCGGATTCTATGAGGACCCAGAAACTGTTGGAGCAAACAAAAACATACGAATTTTAAACCCTACGATGTAGGGCAAAATACTAGGTGCAAACCAACTAATCTGTGTAAACTTAAAAATTACCAATAAAGACCACTGTATGTTGATCCAATGGATGGGGTGAGGGAGCTTAAGCGTAAAAAAAAGGACTGTGGGTGGGGGGCTTAAGCGTAAAAAAATCTCATCCCTCACCCCATCCATTGGATCAGTATCCAGTGGTTCTGATTGGTAGTTTCTAAGTTTGCACAGGTTAATTGATTTACACCTGATACGTTACCATGGTGTAGATCCAACGGCCAAATAAAACTTCAGGCAAATAAACACATCGGCGAACAATCTGACAGCTGAAAGTTACTAAACCTGACCACATTTATTAAAGGGCAGCGACTAAATGTTTCGCTTACACCGTCTTATACTAAAACTAAAATAACATTAAAAAACTTAACTGAAAACTAAAACTAAAAAATAAAAAAAATGACTGAAAACTAAAAAAAAGAAAACAAACTCAAATAACTGAAAATTTAAAAAAACCGAAATAATAAAACTGAAATCGACAAGCAATAAATAAAACTTAAATTAACAATGATAAACTAAAAACAAAATTAGACAAAGTGAAAAGAAAAATACAAAATAACAATAAAAAGAAAAAAAAGTACCAGGACAGGCGTGTGCGGCCTGGTTGTTAGCGTCTTTCATCTGGTATAGTTTCTAAAAATTTTTACCCAAAAATATTACATCGAATTTTGCGACACATGCATGGAGTATTAAATATAGACAAAAAAAAACTAATTGCACAGTTTGGTTGAAAATCACGAGACGAATGTTTTAAGACTAATTAATCCATGATTAGCCATAAA